GGGCTTCAAAAGAAAGGGTTAGCTCAACTACACTTATTGACCTTGAGGATATGAGAGGACAGGGAAGAGAAGTGCCATGTAGGACTGTACTTTCAAACCATCTGGACCTTCCAGAATGCTGTATTAGTCAGCAGTCAGTCCCCATGGTCTAAATTACCCACCCACCCCCATATCCTCAATTAGGAGTACTTCTGAAACAAGTCAGTATACAAACAAGACAATCAAAGACACAAAAGCAAAACACATGTCAAAAAAAAAAAAATCTCCCATAGTGAGAATAAATACAATTAGAAACCTACAAGTACTTATCAGTATTTCAGACAAATCAAAGTGTATTATGAAATGCATCAAATTAATCTGTTATGTTTTGTTTCTTTTTATAATGTTCTTTGTGTGTCTATGTGACCAAGAAGGACACTTGGTGAGGTTCCCAAGCTCTGGGTGGGAAGGCTACTTGCTTTACATGTCTAGCAACCTACTCACTCACTGAGGCACTGGGTCTCAGGTCCCTACCCAAATCTCAGTGTGACAGAGGTATCCCATACAACCAAAGCACTGAATGAAAGTTAACTAAGTACTGCTATTTCAGGCACTCAGTATGTAATCTGTGTCACCATATAGGAAATAGATGCCTGACAAAAGTACACTGTCAACGTTGAAATGTATTAAACACTTTTTTGCAGTATTAATGGTTGATCTACACATATTTTGAATATGGTTTTCTGAAAAAATTTTATAGGGCAGGCTCTCATGGGAAATATAGGTAAGTATTGCATATAAGCATATAAAGCATGTAAGTACTGACACTAGATATTCTCTTGAAATAATGTGGTTATTAATATTTATTAAAATTTTGTAAGACATGGCATTTCAGTATAACCTTATGAGGAAAATAGTTTACAAATCAACACTTCAATAACATAACAGATTTCTAAGCCATTAGTTTCAATGCTGTAATACAGACCGAAGATCAACGGAACACTTGAGTTTATAATTAAATGTTTTTGTAAGTGACTATCAGGCTTCAGGCAATTAATCTAGCTAAATGCTAAACTTTAGGAGGACAGGGCAGTTTCTTTTATTATCAATTTTGTTAGCAACTAATAACAATAATAATAATAATAACTAACGTATCAGATCCCTGGCTATAGTTAGGAAAAGGAAAAATTCAAAAACCACCTTCTCAATGTGACTTCTAAATGGGATGTTCAAGTTTAAATTTATTTCATTTCCCTTTTACTAACTGAAAATACAAACAACAATTCCCACTCACGCTAGGTGGAACTTGGCCCTTTTCCAGGTGAGGTACAAAACAGAAAATGACCCAATCTCTTGAAAATATCAGAGCTGGAGGGATGGCAAGTATGCACATGTACACACGTATGTATGTGGTAATGGTGGGAAAGTAAAAATGCACCTAACAAATTAAAATCTCTCAGGAATACTTGACCTCAACATTTTTTAAAGGAAACATCTGGTTGGCAGAAATGACAGTTGACCTTTTACTTATGGTCCCCTGAACTAAATTATCTGTCCTTGTATCACAATGTATATAGGTATCCGATGTTTAAACTCAATTTCTAAAACTCTAAGGGGAAATCCAGCGCAAAAATTTAATGTTTTATTATAAACCAAAATGTTTAAGAACTCCCAATTATCTCCTAATCCATAACCCTCAAATGTTTCACGACAGGCTTTCTTATCCCCAAATCAGACTATTTTCTCCTACTTAGCTGCAGTTCAGAAATTAACAGCCGACTTATCTAACCACATCCACTGAAAAAAGCAAAAGCAACAACAAAACACCCGACCTCAGATCTATAATGAGCTAAGCATTTGGGTTTTTTTACATCTTAGAACATTTTGCAAAAATAAACAAAACACGTGACACAGAGAACTTAAAAAACACACAATCATCTATTTGGACAGATATACGGCGGGAAGGAAATAACAGAAATAAAGGTATGAGTTGCAAATCAAACTACATGCCTACCTATAGAATTTCTGCAGCTGTAGAAAATCTTGCAAATGTTACAGAGTAAACATTATTGCACCAATACAAGTAAAATTATAAAATCAACCTGCTTTAAGATTAACCATTAAGCATGGCTATAGATTAGAAAATGATCAGACGTTTATGTCATTTGTTAACCAGGATCTTGATTTTAATCTCTAGGGATTAATTTATCCTTTATTTTTCAGAGGAGGAACCTAGGAAGGTTCCTTCTACTTCTAAGAATCCAAGTCCAACTAGACTTGCTTAGCAAGTATTAGACAATCCTTCTAGGAGTGCTGGATACAGGCAAATTCCTGGTAATTCCTACACCCATTCAGTCCAGCTTCTACTCTAGGGATGCTTTCTGCTATATGTAATATTTAGAAACCCTACAGACATTCTTGGTGCTAAAGTATTTTATCATATTAAGCAAAACCACTCTTAATATACAGTAAAATATATACTGAATTATATGCTAAAAGTTCTCATATGTGTGAATCAAAAAATTCAGCGGAAGAAGGAAAGCTGTAACACAGCATCTCTTGGTATTAGTTCTATTTGTAAAAGAGTGAAACAATCCTCATTTGCCAGGCATTCTTCACTATATCATCCATAGCACAAAAATCTCAAACACAGGAAAAAGAACAGTTTGTCAAACTCAGCATATGCATTTGGCACAGGCCTTGGAGGGCCTATCTGTCTCATCTCTATTAAAACTTCAGAAAGAAAAAAGGTAATGGAAAAACAAATGGAGACTAAGTTACAATGGAAATATTCTGAGTCTCAGATTCATGGATTCATTGTAGAAAAATAAAAATAAAAAAAGAACTTCCTCCTTTAGAGAAGTTAACTATTTTCAAAGCAGTATCTTACTTTCAATGTTTGCTACCACAATACATTTTAAATATACATTTTCCCCAAAAAACCTATTGTAATGGTAACTTATGTTGAAATCACCACTTTGTATGGTGGGTCTCTTGCTACACTCATCACATATTCTTCTCTACAGAAATTTACTCTCTGCAGAAATTCACTAATGTTACAACAATCAACCAAGTAGTGAATTTCATTTTGTCATTCTATTTCATGTTCGCATTGTTTGTAGTCAATGCATTTGACACAATAACAGTAAGTACTTCACCCTTATATTTATCAGCTACAGTGAGGAAGAGCTTATTGACTGAATAGTGATGCCATCTAAGAAGCAACTCTCTTTAATAAATATTTGTACCATTATCCTTTTCTCCGCTGCATAGTAAATGCCTTAAATCTGTCTGAACTTATTTCCCAAATCAATGAGATATTTACTAACAGGAAGATAGATTCCTACACTGAGTATTTAAATTATGTTTTAACTCTCAGTCAAAAAAAAAATGTTTAGCTCTGGTTTGAGATTTTCAAATGCTAATAATCAAGTAACAGGCTATCTGGAATTCCAGATAGCCTGCAAAACCCTAAATCCCAGGAGTTAAGTCACCCTGTTTTCATTATGTCATCCTTTTGATTTAACTGTGTTTAATTAGTTTAAATTACTTTTATTTGATGGTTATATATTCACATCCTCTTTTTATTTCAAAGGAGAGAAATTAGATTAGCTTGAAGGTATAACTGGATTGACAGAGGTTTGCTCTATATTGCAAGAAATGGGTACTGAACAACATAGAGAATATTTTAATCTGTGGATACACCTTAATTGTTCATTTGTTCCATGCTATCCTTGCTAAAATTCTACAAAGCTGCAGAGCTGTAACATAGCAAAGCTGAAATGAAATGCATGGAGCCACGTCATGAATGACCAAAGTGTACAGATTCTCGTCTACAGGTACCCACTGATGAATCTCTACAAACCTCATATTCAAATATTCAAATATACCATAGGACTATCTACTACTCAGAATATGACAGACATACACTCTGAGAATCTCCATGGCAGAATGACTACAGTAGTCATTCAAGTCAGCTGTCTGACAGACGGAGGCTCAGAATTACACTGTAAACTTAAATTAAAAGAAAACTTCTTTTAAAAAAATAGAAAGGGGAAAAAAAAAAAACCCAAGTGAGACCAGAAGTTTAATACCCTATAGCATAGAACGACCTCGCCATGGGTTGGGAACTCAGGGCGGGTGGAACACATGCCATGGCAACCACAGTAAGAGTAAGTTCACAGTACCCTCTTCCTTTCCTTATATTTGAAATCATCTGAGCAATTTTTTTAAAAATTATGTTTGGTTTTATATTTGGAAACAACACAGAATTGCAGTTGGCCTCTACCAAATTTCACTCCAAAAAGATGAAATACAAGAATAATAAATCTGTCTCATTTCAGAAATCCCTAATGATACAACAGGCATCTCCGAGGAAAAAAGAAAAAGAGTCTATTTCTTTAAAAACTGAAAAATTGATTATAAAATTCTAATAAACAATAACTGTGGAAGATGTTTCTTCTTACGTTTATAAATAACATGGATAAGGTAAATGTATAACTGATGATTACTTTTACTAAACACATTTCCATTTTTTGTAATGAAGAAAGGTTATGTACATAATTGTACAATCATTTCATTCAGACAACTTATCATCACAGTGTTGCATCTGAACCCCAACGCTGTCCCTTCTGTGTGCCAAACCTTGAGGAAGTAGCACCCCTCTGGCTCCTCTTAAAAGAGGGCACACTCAGGAGAATTAAGCCACCATGTCAGAGGATGACAAGATAAATCTAAAAACTATCCTTCAATGTAGTCATCTACTCAACTGTTTTTCCTGAAAACAGACCTTCGCTCCTTCCCTCAAGGGAGAAAGAAAAAAACAAACAAACCCTAAAGTCTCTGTTCAGAATGAATAAGGCATATTTTAAAAGGGCACCAGTGGTCAAGTCACTTTGCATTTTCAGAAATTCTTGCTTCAGATACCAGTTGCTTTAAACTAGGGATTCCCCCCCCACCCCCGACCTCAAATCCAGGCTACCCACGATGTCTTATTATTTACGGCGTGTTATGCTGAGTACCTGTGAAAGGGGGCACTCCTTGGCCAATGAACTCTGATTCATATCTTTCAGTAAATCCTTCAGAGCATTCCTTACTGTGGTGTGTGACCATTGTTCAGGAGGCAGGTCTTCTAGTTTGGGGCAACTATTTGAGACATAGATTAGAGAGGGGATTATTACAAGATTGCATCCCACTGCACAACATTCCTTTAAGACAGACAGATTTCATTTTGCGCATCAAACAGATGCATCTGGAGATTGCTCTCGGTCTCCTGATTGTTCCGATTAGTTAATTACTTTATACAACACATCTGCTGTATCGATGCATGAATTATACATCAGCTGCCTGTGGTGGCTATTTTTTCATGTTACTTCTACCTTCCTGCTCTGATGCGCTTGGGAAGACAATTTAAGGTGTACTGCTTTCTCACGAGCCATCGTGAAAAGCATTAATGTATTAACTGATTTTCTTTCATTACTCTGTTCATACGAAATGAAATGGTAAATATAATACATACATATATACAATAAAACCACAGCAATAGTAAATAGGGTATTCTTTCTCAAAATGTACACAGATGGCACTGTTCATGATATGCAAAAATATTTTTTTCTTAAGTAAACTTTATGTAAAATGCCGTCTTGTAATGCATCATTTAATTGACTAAATGTAAAAAGTCTTATTATCCCAGAAGCTGCAAAAACCTACAAATTTGGGTGGGTGGGTGGGTGGGTGGGAAGTGGGGGAAGCTGGTTTTAAATTATACCTCTAGCTTAGGGAATAAAAGCAGAAGCATAAGGTAACAAAATTCATTTGGATTAACCTTTCCCAAACACAAGGTAAATAAAAATTGAAGGTTGACCAAAGATACTTTATTTCAAAAGCTCACATAAGAGGAATGTTTCACTCTAGTTGCAGCCAGGACTCACCTGTGTAACTGAATTTTCAATGTGACCACATGATACACATCTTGAAGCATATCTGCTACCGTAGCATCAGGGGCATCTGTCACATAAGACAGTGGAACCGGGTTCCACTTTCCAACCTGGATTAGCCCTATTCCAGATAAAGAGAACACGTCACTGAGTATTATACTCTTAGATAATACATCACATAGAAAGTCCATCTTCTTTTCTCCATCACCCCCGCCATAAGCAAGACTGTTATTTCTGTTTAAATGGCTCCCTTCCCTCTAAAAGGCAGGTCAATGAAAATATTCGCAGCTTAGCTTTCCAAATTGTGAAATTATGTAAATGACTATAGGGTTGTTTATTATTTTGGAAATAAAACCCCATCAATAAAACCTATGCATAAGGCCACATTTCCCTAACTTACAGGAAGTTCTAATAAGACATAGCTGAACCAGTTCTAAATGGCTTTACGATTTAGATAAGATTCTCTATTGCAGTGGGAATCAGCATTGAAAAATACTTTACAGCCCATAAAACCATCAGAAACAGAATAAAAGAAACAGAACTAGATATTCAGTCATAAATGCAAATTGACTCTCAACAGTCCATCTGCTCAAATACGCTCCTCACTTCCTTGTGGGTCCTCAGTGGAGCAGATTATTAAGGTCAATAAGCATACTAATGATTCAGCTGAAGTAATTTAAAAAAAAAATCTACCTCGACATTCCACATGAGCAAAATGTGTGTTAACTAAACCAAACTGAATTAAGCCAATTTTTTAAAGCCACAGTCTATAAGAAACAAATGTAAAACACAAGCTACATACAGTTCTTAGAGTAAAAATACCCACTGCTTTCTCTGCAAGGTAAACAAAGGATGCCAAGCAATTTTTCCAACACCATGTCTGCATTATTTACCTTTGGCCTGGGCAGCAGAGCTATGCGAGTAACCTAGAGACAGCAGTGCCATCTCTATCAGCTGGTTGAAAAGCATGTCCTTTCTCACCAACACAAATTCCGCATGCTCCTCCTTGCAATCATATTCGATGGCGTTTTCATAATGTTCTACCACGCAGAAAACTGGAAGCATGGTTCCTATGAAAAAGACAGAGAAAAGGACACAGAAAACCAACAATCTTCAGAAATGTAGTCTGTGGGGGAAAAGCTATGAAAATAAATCTTTCCCACATGAGAGGTTGTGCTTCTAAGGCAGACTTGGTAGAGAAGTACAAGCGTACACACACACACACACACACACACACACACACAATCTTTTTATTTTCATAAAGTTGTAAAGGAAACAGTTAAATAGCATGGGAACTTGGTCCACAGATATCAGAGACTCTCCTCTCATTTTAACAGTCCATTTTCCAAAAAAGCAATAAATGCAGAATTACCTTTTTGATCAAATAATAATGCTGACAAGAGAGAAATAAGTGTGTCTTGTCTGATTTGCTGTAAGTGACACAGAGTATTCAAACATGCAAACACAACTCACTGCAGTTGTCTCCAGTGGAATCTACCTTTCCCACTGCCTACACACTCCTGTTAATCATAAATTTCTCCTGGTTGTGTCCAAACAAATTATCTTTGGGCATAAAAGTCTTATTTCCTTTCTTTTTCGGATTATTTTACCCTAACTGGTTCCATAAGAGAAAAACAAAACTTAACCAAATGGATACTCAGAATAGGTACAAAAAGGAGACAAACAGCATTTATGTTTGTGACTATTCATTGAGGCTACCTGACTGCAAAGACAGCACAGCAGCCTTTAAAATGAATGATCTCTCTTATAGTAAATAGGATTTAAAAAAAAAAATGAGAGAGGGAAACTGTCCTCATTGGGATCTACCAGGGTAAGGTATCTGCATGCATCTGATGGGGTCTCTCTTGCTTTACTTTAAGCCAGTATAATAATTCAATAGCCAGATAACTAATAAACACAGGGCATACCACCATAAGAAAAGAGGCTTCGGCTACAATCTGCTGTGGAATTCAAGGTATTCACGCAGCACACTGTCAGACTTCCAATGATAACTGAAAAGGGTTAAAAGCAGATGCATCTGAACTGCACTGTGGCAAACTGCCAGGAGGGTATCATCTTTAGCATAAATGATGACAAGGGTTACTTTAACAGGGCACCCAGGATCCTCCGTTAGTCCTACACATCCGTGCCTAAATAAGCTCCATCCTCTGGACTTGAAGAACCCTACCAACTTCTGAAGATGTCAAGTGCATATCAACGTTGCTGAAAATCGGGATTTTCTACAGACACCAGAGAGGCCTTTTACATATTTCTCTATTTGCTTGTTTCTGCTGAACAAAAGCTGGAGATAAAACAGCTACATTTTTCCATTTGTGTGTCTTCACCAAAGCTTTAGTGAACTGTTCACAAGAGATCCTAGCTCTGACAAATAAACCCCTTTAGGTTTACTTAGAAAAGCTCACAAACTCATTCGGAAGTACCAACAGGCTAGGCATGAAAAACAAGCCGCAGAGCTTGCCAATATTCTTGTCATTCATTCAGCTGTTTTATACCAGAGAGAGAACCCGTCAGGGATCAGAAAACGACTTGGGGAGACCACAGCAGAAACAGCAATATGCAAACTGGTGATTTCTTCCTTGGCTTGAAGGTATTTTGGCAAAATCTCCTAAACAAATAAAAACATTCAACCCCTTTTTCCTAGTAGTGCTTTCTCAGCTAAGCCACAATTTTTATCTAGCACCTGTCAAACAGAAACCATGCACATGAAAAATAAGATGGAAAACACAAACACACACACACACCAAGAGGCCTTAGTGATTTTGTTATCTGGATTAAGCTGAGACTCTTCTGCCATGAAACTGCATTTTAAAATAAGTCATTATGGGTACAATACATTTTTTAAAAACATTTAAGCAGAAAGTGAAATTACTATACTTTTTGTTTCCTTCTCCCCCTGCACTAATGTCTTCAAAGACTTGGGTTAGTACAACAAAAACACATACACTGGTTTTTCCTCTTAATGGAAGAAACAGATGTGTTCAACTCACACCTATGAAATAGCCAAAGGCTGTCCAAACTATTGAAATATATTGTATTTACCTTGTCTTTTATTAGTCAAATATAGAGATCTCTTATAAATAATAAAGGTGGCTCTAGAGGAAGTAACAATAGTATCACCTAATTATAAATCCAGCTGCTAAATTTTCTGGTAAACTGTCACAACTGCCCTCCTGTGACTGAGAGTAATGCTAAACAGGAGTCTTCTCTGAACTGCCTGATTCTTTGGGCTAGTATTTGGCAAGGCTTCCAACTACAGCAACTTCATAACCTTGCAACGTTAAAAGGGGAGAGTACTGGTCACTGCTGAATGCTAAAAATACCACATGATTTAAACCTGAAGGCAGTCTTAGGAGCTTTTGCTGAAGGTTTATGAGCCTGTGTAAACAGCACGTCTGCCATAAGGAGCAGTGAAGTCTGTAGAATCCTTGTCTAAAACTGTCCTGGCATTAAAGTTTGCTGTGCAAATATCACATAATACCAGAGACAGCTGAAATCTCCTATTTAGGAATTTATGGAACTTATATGTTTGCAGGCGTCAGAAAGTCTTTTTTATAGAGCCCCAGTGCTTCACAGTACAATATTAATGTACTCTGTTTGAAAAGCCGTAATAAATTATATTTTTAATGCTCTTACTCTGGCTTTCTTAAGATGCATACATTCTTGGCAAACAATCAATAAATAGGGTAATCATGAGTAGAGGCCAAAGAATCTGCTGAAGTGCTGTTTTTCCATTTTTAATAGATAAAGATCTAACAATACGGACTGCTGTGTCTGTTCATTTCAGGATCAATATATTCTTTGTTTTCGCCAAACCAAGGAAAAAATAAATGATTGTGTGATAAATGTTATGCATCAAACACAATGAAATTCCTCTGCCTTCTAACTTTATCTACTTAATATTCTTGGTTGCTAAAAGATGGCATTTTTATCCTTTGCTTAGTAAATGTTCAGAAAATCTGATTCCTACACATGTTATTCAGAGAGAAAAATAAAGACCCTTAAGAGACACGTACAACACTTAGTACAGGAGCTGCTCTATGCCAACAATGTCCAACACAGGCAAAGTTGTTAAACTTCATCAACTTAATACTGACAGAAAAAAGTCATTTACACATCTTCCCTTTATAAATACGCAAAATCTGGCCCTCCTTTATCAACAATAGTTACACGGAAAAGTTTAAAATGAGAATCATCAGGGCTTTCACAGCAAAATAATAAACCACAAAAAATGACATAACCAAACTTCAATATCATCTTATGTAAGGTTTCCATCGTCTCTGAGATTGCCTTCAAAAAAGCTTATAGAAAAAGCTGAAGAGGCTCTCACACAATCCAAGTGTCATTCTGGGTGAGTCAAAGCAACAACCTACATATCCCTTACAACAATGACAACATCTTATGAATGGACCCTTGCAGAAAATGAGACCATTACACTTAACTCAGTCCTTATCATCCCACAAGTCCAATGGTTCTGATCTTTAGAGTAAGATGCTCCATCCAAGCACAGAGCCTATACTTCAAAGCATGATGAGCACTGCAGCCCAGAATGGAACTACATTAAGATCAGAAAGAGAATCCAGGAAAAGAAAATTCAAGCATGTTCTACCCCTCCACTCACACAGTGTGGCCTTGGATAGACTTAAATGCTATTTGGTTTGAAAGTATTTACCTTTCCTAAGGTTGGTCTTCATCAGATGGCTTGAGTGTTTTAAAGGCACTCCCTGCATTTTTGCACCTGTACTCCCAAGCCTTCCTCTTCCTAGAGGGCTCCCATTCTGCTCCAGGCGGGCAATCTTGGCTGGTGGGCCCTTCGGATCACTTACATTGTTAGACATTTCTGAATGCTCTTTCCCCTGAGTTGCCTCATTCAAATGATCCATACTCAGTCACTGTCTACAGATCACCTGTCAGAATGTAAAAAGAAGATGTTAGAATAGGGTGAGGGATCGGTACCTATGTATGTCTCCCATATAAACCTTTTGCCTAGACATTTGTGTCTACAAATGAATTTGTACAATTGCTTACCTATACACAGTACAAATGCTTCTGTATTTCTAGGTAATAGCACATTTCTGTCCAAATGAACAGAACAATTTGTGAAAAGTGTATCAATACACATAAATAAAAAGATAACTTGTCATCTATAAATAAAAGTAGAAGAAAAAGAGCTTACTTTTAGAACAAGAATGACAAGCTTAAAAGAGAAAATAGCTATTTATGTAGCCCCAAAATTTAAAAACTAGAAACTCATGATAGACCACAATAGCAATATTTTAATGCAGGCTGGAGATAATTATCACAGTCCAAAATAGTAAGTTTAACACGTTTATGTTTTATATTCTTTTAATTTTGACACATATATATATGTATATACATCCATCTCAAAAAATATACCAAACATCTAAGTACTTTTTAAAGTCCCCATTGGCTTCACAAGTTAATGCACAGAAAAAGTTTCCTCCTATCTAAGTTTCAAGAGTTACGTGACCTGTTAAAGATCTAGTCAAGCCTTAGGTCAAACATGTGAGTGGATCATTTCTCTCCTAAGCAAACAGGAAGAAGTGAAGGGTTTCTTTAAATTTCCCAAGTACTGAAGCATTAACAACTTGCCTTTTAGAGTTAATAGTTATATTTCCATTACTAACACAATGCTGTTAGCAATTTAAACAGCAAAACGCTTGAAAGTACTGTGTGATAAACACAATAGGCTCAAGTACCAAACTGACTTTCAAAAAAAAAATCACAATATTGGTAAAACACAATCTTACATTTTCAAAACAAATCTCACTATGCCAAAGAAAAGTTACCACCCTCATTTCAGGAAATTAAAAAAATATATTTTTCAGTTAACATGTTATGCTGTTTATAATAAAGCTAGGAATGTAATACCAAAGTCACTACTAAGCTACAGTTTTCACTAGAATTTATTTTTTTTAAAGTGAGAATTATTTTATGAACTTTCACCTTACTTTTAGGCACTGGGATTATCAATATGAAGGAGAACCTCTTTGAAATACCAGAGAGAAAAATGATAATTACTACTTTCTTCGAGTCATTTAGCAATATGACATATCTTTTTTTTTTTTTTAAGTAGAATACCAAAGCTACTCAGATCTGCAAGTGTTGAAAGCCAGTTTGTATCATCATGACTTTTGTGCAAACATTTTTTCCCATCTGTTTAACTATGGTCTACTTTGTCCTATATAATCAGAAAGGAGGTAGATACTAATCTGGAGGGTTAAAAGCAACTTTCAGAATGCCAATTGAAGAACTACAAAGTTTAAGAATAATAATGGCTATTTATCTTTGTGATCCAGGGGGGGACGCAGAGAACTAAAGGTTTACCACTGCTGATAGAGGTCCCATCTGGTATTGGTTATGAGGTTCATTAACAATAAATGTGCCTTTTTTAGCCACTTTTTTTAATCAAGATATTCTTTTCATTATATTAAACTGCAGTCTCAAGCCAAAATTAGAGACTGAAGACTATTAACTTATTCAAAACACTCTATAATGTTTCATGTAGATTATAATGCAGGGCTGCTTTTTCTAAAATAGGTTGCTTTACCCTAGAGGCAGAAGATGAATTTTAAAACATATGATTTGAAAAGAAAATCTTTTAACCCTTGGGGCAACTTATGAAAGGAACACAAACAAAAAAAGGGAAAAAGTAGACAAAAGTTAATGCTGCAAAACGTATTAAGTAATCAGGAGGCTCAGCAGCACTTCTAGGGTGTTGGGCAAATGAAAGTGATAGATTATAATTAAGTTAATGTATTGACAATCAAAACATCACACAGGTCAGGCAAAATGGTCCTTTGAATACTCACCTAAAGCATCTATTAAACACTAAGTCATCCTGTAAAAAGCTTTACATTATAAAGCAAAATTACATGCACATAAAACACCCAATTTACTCCTTTAAACTCTATGCCTAAGGCTAAAGTTCACCAAACCTCAGATTGAAATTGAAAAGAACCACCTCAAATAGGCCTCTGGACTGACAGCAGAAGGAACTAACTATGGTCTGAACAGATGCCAGGCTGAGGAGTTCCTTTTGAGTTACACATCTTAAAATGCATTATAGTGCAATGTTTGATTGGCACATAGAAAGCAGATTTTTCCCAAAATCCCATCTCCCTGCCCTTAAACTAAGACCTTACAGGATCACTACTGAATGAAACCATGAACTTGGTCTCATCAATAACTTCCCTTCAAAAGAAAGAAGAAAAACACGAAATTTCAGTTTCAATAAACTATTTTTTTTTTTTTTGCATCTTGGGACTTTTCAATGAGTTCCTTGCTGTACTGCCTCCCTGCCCCCCCCAGTACCCCATAATCACATTTTAAGAAATTGTACCCTTATCCATTCCATATGGCTAGCACGATCCAGGCCAAGCTTTCACTGTGACCTTTTAAAGAGACAAAGAAGCAAAGTACTATCTAGAAACAGAAACACGGCAGTTTTACTGAGTGAAATTAGCAAAACCGACCTGAAACTCACCACTTCAAAACTTGACAGCATATAAATAACAAACACAAAGGAGATTTCCTTTGCAGCCCGGGTTCTTGAAGTGAAGTTCAAGACTGATGTGTTCTATGTCCTTTTTTTTTTCTTTTAATTTAAAAAAACAAAACAAAACAAAACAAAAAAAAAACCCAGCAGCAGACCTGAAGGCGACTTCCCCTGAAATTGTATTATTTTCTCCCTTCCCTTACCCCCGCCCCCCCTAAGCGGGGGAAGGGCAGAAATAAATGTCTGGAAGAGTAGCCATGGGAAGGGGGGGGGGGGTTATATTAAAAAAAAAAATCACAAATCGAAAAGCAACATAGATGGTTTGTAAAATGTCTAACCTCAGAGAACGGGGTTTCCGACGGGGAGGAGGGGGGGAGTGGGAAGAAGGGAGGAGGGAGAAGATAAAATTGATCTGACAAGTGATTCGTTGGGGGAGAGAAATCGTAAAAAAACAAAGCAGAACCCGTTTCGGAGCACAGTGTGGCGTGGGGCTGGGGAGGCGAGGTGATGCCTGAGGAATCTCTCCAAAAAAAAAAGGAGAAAGGGGAAGGGGGGGGGGCGGACAGGATCACCGCGGCCCAGGTCTCCAGAAAGGGGGTGGGGGGCCCCGAGGTTCCGCGCTCTCCTCCCTCGCCCCCTCCCTTCCGCTCGCCTCGGTTCCGGGGTTCGGGTGCGAGGACGCCAAGTCTACTTGTGGCTGTCACTTGTGATCGGATTCTCCGAGAGCCCCCCGAGATCGCGGCGGCGGCGGCGGCGGCGGCGGCGGCGGCGGGCGCGGGGGGGGCGGGGAGCAGGCCACCTCGCCGGAGCGTCCCCCGTCCCCACCCCCTCCCCGGACAGCCCGACCCAACCTTAAACTTTTGTGTTGGTTTTTTTCCTCTCTCTCTTTCCCCCACAGCCTCGCGCCCCTTCCCCGCGAGGAGGGGTGGGGGCATCTACCGGGGGGCAGCGAGGGCGGGGGGCCGAGGGGCGCCACCAGAGCCCCGCACGGGCACTAAGATGCCACTTTGGATTCCGCCCTCGCCGACCGCAGCCCGGAGGACCCTCTCCCTGCCCATGGACGCGGGGCTGGGAGCGTCTGGGGAGCCCCGGCGAAGAAGGGGACCGGGGGGGAAAGGGAGGGGGGGGAAGGACGGCGAGGGAGGGGGGAGGAGGAACGGGAGAGGGGGACCCAGGAGGTGGGGAGGGGGGGAGAGGGAGAGCACGAGCGCCAGGCACCCCAGCCGACTCCACCGCCACCGCGGCCGCCGCCACCGACTCCCCGCCCCCTCCCCCAAAAAGTCGGCCGAGCCCTCCCCGAGCCGAGTCCGAGGTAAACAACGGAGCGCCACCACAATGGCACGGGGGACCCGGGCCCGGGGAGGGGTGCGGGCGCCCCCACGAGCGCCCACGAAACTGATCAGGAGTTTCTGGCACGGCAGGCGAGCGAGGGGGGCGGGAGGCGTCCTCGGGAGTCGCCCTGGCTTGAAGGCTGGGTCCCCGGGCAGGCTAGCCCGAGGGCGGCCGTGGCCGTGGCGGTGGCGAGGCCGGTGGTGGCTGGGTGGCACTGGGAGAGGTGTGCGCGCGGGTTTGTGTGTGCGTGCGTGTGAGCGCGAGTCCCCGGACGGGGCTGCTCCTCTCTCGCTCCCTCACTCTCTCTCTCTCTCCTCGGCCGCGCTCGCTCGCTCGCTCTCCCCCTCGCCGCCGTCTCTGCCCCCATTAAATCACGAGTTGACTCATCCCGGCCGCTGTCGCCGCCGCTGCCGCCGCCGCCGCCGGGCCCCGCTCGGCTCCGCGCGTCCGCCCGGGCTGCCGCCCTCCTCGCCGCCGCTGCTCCCGCTGCCGCCGCCGCCGCCGCCGCTGTGGCTGCCTCTTCTTCCTCCGCCTCATTTTAATACAGAATCACCCCGCTCGCAGCCCCAGCCCCGCGCGCGCAGCCTCCGCCCGCCTGCCCGGCCGCCGCCGCCGCCGCCGCCGCCGCCCGGAGCCTTCCCCAGCGGGGCCGGCAGCTCCGCCGCGTCCGGGGCGCGGGGCGCGGGAGCGAGCGGGAAAGTGGCGGCGGCGGCGGCGGCGGCGGGGGAGGGGAGGGGAGGGGGTGCGCGGCGGAGGAGGAAGGCGGCGGGGGGGGGGGGGGGTACAGGGTGCGCGGGGCGGGCGGGAAGGGTTGGGGATTAAAACCCGGGCTGGAGGGCCGGGATCGGGGAGGGGCGGGGTGGGGGGGCGAACGCCGGGGAGACGAGAGTAAGTAGTGAATGAGTGCGGCGGGGAGCGCGGCTTCCGGCCCCGGGCGCGCAAGAATTTGTAATGAGCTTGATTAGAGTGAGGCGGCCCGACATTTATTACACACAATACCCAGAATAACAGGGCGCAGCGCGGGGTGCGCGCCGGCCGCCGCCGGGCGCGCCGGGGAGAGCGCGGGGGGCGGAGGCGCGGGGGCTTCCCTGGCAGCGGCCGCCGGGCGGGCGGGGAGGGACGGAGGGAGGGAGGGAGGGAGGGCAGCGCGCCGCGCGCGGGCGGGCGGGCGGCGAGGGCAGGTGTGCGGGTGGGAGCTGGGCGGGAGGAGGGGCAGGGCTGGCAGGGAGGGGGGGGGCGGGGAAATGAAAGTGCGGGGGAAGAGGGGGCGAGGGCCAAGGGGGAAAACTAACCAGCCACCCACAAGCCACAAAAGCCACAGAAGGGAATACTCCGGGAGCCAGGCCGGGGGGGCACCCGAGGGGCGGGCGCGGTGGGGACTGGAGGCGGGGGACGGCCGAGGGGCGCCTGGGTGCGGTGGGGGGGGGGGCGGGGAGAGGTGGGGCGGACCGGGCCCGGGTGTGCAGGTGACTTCAGGAAGTGGCCATAGGGAACCGGGCGCGGGTGGAGCCCTCCCGGGGAGCACGGGGGAGGGGGGGGAGCGTGGAAACCGCCGGGCAGTCAAGGCGGGGAGCCTAGAAAGGATCTCCCAAATACCTTGTCCCCCTCCTTCCCCCCCCCCTAGGAAAGGTGGTCCCTGAACTACGGAGTCAATATTGCCAGCGACAGTGACAGTAAGTCAGAGCCGTTGGGACACTTGGAAGGAAGAACTAGGCGGCCTGTCGTGGTCAAGTGGAACGAATTTGGGTCACTTGGAAAAGGCCTGACATACTGTGGTAAAGGAAAAGATGTCATCCGTCTTAAAATAATTGTTGTCCGGCAAAAGACAGGACACAGGAGATAGGTAAATGCTTCTGTATCCAGTAGCAGTAAATACTTCTGCTGCAAAGTTCCCCTGTTAGATCAATGGTCATTATCGCCTGAGTGATCTTAGTTAGACAATCTATTAAATATAGTCCGTATAAAAATAAAGGGCAGTACATCTCCTCGGAAATGGAAAATGCAGCGTTCATTACTTAGGCTTTACTACCATCATTTGAGCACCTTAAGGCAGCTAATCATAAACAACAATGTTATCAGCATTCTTGTTTAGAACACACTGGTAGGAAAAAGAAAAATTAGATAAACGTTTTGTTGCACATTTTAAAAAGCAACAAGTTAGCACAAGTACTGAGATAAGAGAGAAATATGCAAATTGAGCTCTTTAAAGCTACCAATGCACGCTTCAGCACACTGTTTACACGAGAAATCTAAGAAAAGCAGAAGACGGTGGTAGAAAATCAAGTGATGGAAATTATGGGGTGGGGGGGATGAATTGAGGAGAAATACAATGAGAACAAATCACTTTACCATCACCCAAGTTTCCCCCACAAACTAGAAAAGTTACAGTCGAGGAAAGAAAACTTGCATATTGGCAAAGTCTTGAGCAAAAGATGAAAGATGTGATCCACATAAAACACAGCATCCCAAACAAGAAAAGTAATTCAATGCAATCTTCACTCAACAGCCTACTTCATTTTAAAATATTTAAATATAGGAAGAGGCTACTTTAAAGAAATTTGAATAAGGAAACACAAAAAATGTGGAAAATTGGAACAATTTGTGGGAGTTTGTACTGTGGATGGAGATTGAACTTACTTTAAAAGATCTTTGGTAATAGAAAAAATACCATCTCTATAGTAACAATGATATTTTTCAATATGATAGGTTAAAATTGAATTTCCAACATGGGTATTTCAGCAGTTGCTTCCATTGGCAAAGCTTAACAAATTTCATTGAAAGCTGGCTTGTTTTCATTAAGGACAATGTATTGTGGTATCGTGCCGAACAAGTTTAAAAACAGAAACAAAAGATTTTTAAAACAAAAATCAGGAAGTGGAGGTTTGGATCAAATGGTAGAGCCTCGTCCTTGAGCAGAAAAGGCCAAGCAACGGGGAGGAAAGGCCAAGCAAGTGCCACAGGCCCCAAGTTCAAGCCCCGAGTGCTGGCACAAAAAATAAAATATAATTTTAAAAATTATATTGGACTCCAAAAGAATATGTCATATGTCATTTACCCATGCAACGTCACTTCAGATTGCATATCTAAAAAAAGAAAAAGTTTGAGCTAAGAGAAAAGAACACTTAAAAAAAGGTTACTGAAAATATCAGTCTTAAAGACATATTGGCATGAAATGTCGTCAGTGTTTATACAATCATTTTACACAAATAAATCAGACAAAATGCCTCCTGATTGCCTAAGTCTACTAATGACATGATCAATGCTAATGTAACATAGGAATTAATAGTCTTTATGTCTTTTATCCAGAATCACAAACCTATTCATAAACATAAACCATAAAAGTGTGTAATAAGGACTGTCTTGAAAAATGATAAGCGGAATGAGCATAAAGGCATCTAATAATGACTTTATTATAAATAGCAACAATACAGTACAATCATGACTCTATCAATCACATGTACACATTAATTTTTCCTAAAGCACATTCTTTATTCCAGAACTATATGATTATAAATGATAGAGGTAAAATGGCACACTGTGGTTTATATCCTAGTAGTATGCTGTATCAGTGAACTTAGGTATTCATTATAGTCACTGAATACTATCCAGTGTAAAGCTAGATCAAAATAAAGAAGAAAAAAAAAAGTAATTGGGATCACTTTGTATATGTTAACATAATCTGTCATGGAAAGGTGAGGCAAAAATATCAACTGATTCTACTCAGATATATTTAACAAAGACACAAATACTTTTTAAAATTAAAACAAAATAAACTTTATAAATCTTGCTATTATAATAAAAAACTTGAAGGATCATGAAATATTACAACTTAAATGCATGAACTATTTAACATGTGGACATACATTTCATCAGAATGCATCAATTTTGTCTCTCATGAAGACATTTCATACTGAAAATATGAAGGGAGAAATAAAATATTGTAGAAGATATACACTATTAAAAAAACTTAATGAGAGGATTACTGCATGTTTCAAATGGCAGCGTATTAAGATAAATATGCAGGCAGATATCTGAAAGCATTAAAACACATTCAGAGTTCTGAATGGCACATATATTTGTAATAAACAGAAAAAGATTTCGAATCTGAATGCATTTAGGATATAGCAACTCCGCCAGTG